AGTAGTGGTAGATATTTTTGTTTGCATGGCGGCTTGTGTAGCCTTCTCACTTGAACCAGGTTCTATTGATTTCGATTCATTATCCGCAGGTTTTTCAGTAACAGAACTAGGTATATTTTCTGTTTCAGATTTTGGCAATGCTGGAACTTCTGGCACACCTACTTTTGCTAAGATGTTAGAATCAGCTTCTTAAACTATTTTTGAATCTCGACTTATCTTTTGAGTCGATTCTTCTGTGAGAGTTTCTGTTGATAAAGTATAAACTGAACCTTCACCATTAAGCTTTTCTTCGATTATTGAGGATACACCATCATCAATATACGTAGATCTTAGGACTTCATCAACTTTTTCGATAGCTTTATCTTTGTTGGAAAATCAGCCAGTGACTTGGACAAACGTTTTAGCATCCAATAAGTCTAAACTATCAATATTGGTAATATTTCAATTCGAATCTTGAATTCTTTCTATACATCTTGATGAAGTTGAAAATTTTTTTTTTTTTAAACTAATTTCAATTACACTAATCAGGTTCAAGTCTCACACAGTACTTATTTGTGATAGCTAACCTCGCCAGTACTAGGCTAGATAAGTGACTAACGGGTCTGAACAAACCCCCAATTTTCGCATAGTACCTATTACAGCATTCAGCTCCGCCGGTACCAGGCTAGATAAATGACTAACAGGCAGAGTACCTTAACCAATTTTCGCACTATTAGGTGACTAACAGGCAGAGTACCTTAATCAATTGTTGCACTATTAGGTGACTAACAGGCAGAGTACCTTAATCAATTTAGTGTAATTCTCTATAATTTTTCTTAGTTTAAAGTTTTTTTTTTAATTATATCACGCGTGATTTTTTATTTATTTTTTTTTTTAAAGAAAAATCGCTCGTATAGATCGGGAGTGTAATCGCGAAGACCGTAAAGACGATTGGATCGGAGTTGTAAAGAGAGGAGTAATAAAGACGATAAGAATCGAAATCGTTGTCGAGAAAGTCGGAATCGAGATCATCAGTGACTGATGAACTAAATTTATGAAGTTCATATCTATTTTATGTCTATTACTTAGACAAATGCATATTGCTAGG